GTTGTTTCAACGTCGAAACAGTAACGTCGATCCAATTTGCATAGTCAACCCTTTTTCAACGTCTATCCAACGTCTGGAAGGTCATTTCCAACGTTGATTCAACGTTGGATAAACGTCATTTTGCCCGCTGGGTTAATTAGAAACATGCATGCTTGTGACTTTTCATGATTTTTATGACACATATACCCATAGCATTCAGTTGCGCTATAGTTGCGGGGAAATTACCCAAGGAGTGATCCTCCAATGTCGATATAAATATATCTGATGGAATTGCATGCTGTAGGCCTGTAGCATGGCTGTAACCATTATTAACCTAGACCTCTGTCGATTAACGGATATAGGCCTATACGTCAGTAATTAAACGACCAATAAGTTGCTTTCTTACTGATATCGATACATTTCCTGTAATTTTGATACCCGTAGACAAGCGTATGAAGTGTCGGAAATAGTAATAGAACACGTGAACTCCACGCACGATCGCGTGATATATAGTTTTCCTTTAAAACAGGAATTTTTGTTATTGTTGTGAGACTTTGACTGCGAAACCATTGTAAAAATGTGATACGAGAGTGAGTGATTTGAGATATTACATATCAATAATACAACTAGTGATTTGTTGGTGATACTTAAAGCGTAATTTCCAACGGAAGAACTACAAAACATAACGTGCAGAAAAAAGTATTATTCGACTTATTCCCTAATCAAGCTAATTCGCTAATTCGAGGCACTGCCACTGATCAATTTCATTGGCTCACATATGGAAAACAGGGGCCAAATTTCAACCGGAAGTAGAAACTATATATAGTGGTTTTTTCACTAATTTTTAACTCTATTTTCATTCAACCTTGTTATTACGTCAAAAGTTATTACTACAAAAATTAAAAACCATCATTCAAAAGGCTGAACTGTGCCTTTAATAATCGACCGTCCCCTGACCATTATACCTTAACATGATTGAAAAGCAACAAATCGAATGTATCATTGTCCGGTCTAATGTGGAACGTATTGTCTTTGGCTTAATCTTTTAATGAGTAGGAAGGCAGGTAAAGAGGTACGTAGCTGCTAAACTGCCTGCCTTGTTTAAGAAAGGCTTGAGTTTAGAAGTTAAGAGACTTTCGCGAATTAGAAGTTCATCGGAGATGGCGAAGACGAAAGAACTTTCAGGTCATAAATCGGAAGGCCAGTGCAGTAATAAATTTACGTGGTGTTTCCACAAACAAAAAGTATTATGTGTTTTATCGCCATGCAATTCTACAAAGACCTTATTAGAAGGCCAGTGGTCTTGAGGTGTGAATGGATACGTGAGTGTGTCACTGTGGGATTACTACTCTCATTAGTGAGTTTAAGATACCCCGGTTTCGGTGTACGGATACGGGTTAGCATAATTTTAGCTAGCAATATTTTTGTCGATGTCTGTACTTTTACGCGTAATTAATGTGCACCGGCATTTTTCGCATTATATCATTGTCTATTAAAATCCGAAAAGGCATGATCGAATTACAGACATCAGTAAAAACTAGTAAACACGATGACACTACTCGTACCCGTACACCGAAACCGGGGTATATCTTA